TATACATGCGTGTGTGTGTTTGTTTATGTTTGTGTGTGTGTGTATGTGTATGTTTGTGTGTGTTTCTGTTTTTTTGTGTATGGAGTTTCTGAACTACCGGTCTTGTAGTAGTTAACATCGCTACTTTGGGGTGGATGAGCGTGGTTATGTGGGTGTGGCCGTACTTGTTCTTATTACACATGTGATGATAACTATGATATGTATATCTACCACACACTCTAGCACACACTATTACAAATCAATATATGGCCGTGCAAAGTGATTTTTATGCCATGGAGTTTCGTGCGTATGTCTGTATGACTGATGATTGTCAGAGAATCCCCATAGGTTTCGTCCTTAACATCTGACATATACTTAGGGCAATTGTCTGCCATATATTCTCTATTCTCTTTATAAAAACTAATTCTAAGTTTTGAAACTCAAATCAAAAAACCCTAAATTCCAATACGTTGTCACTGTTTTCGGTGTGTGCTTGTAGTTGCGCAGATGGACTGGCTGACTCGGATGACGACCTGAACTTCTCGTTCTCGAACAAACTGGATCTCTCAAATCTCAACGAAAGCAAGCTGCCCAATAAAGAACTGTTTAACCTGTCGTCACCAAAACGAGTCGAAGAGAAAGTGTACAGGATGGAATTCAACTACGATAACACCGGCAGGAGGGCTAGCAGCGCAGCCGAGGTGTGTTGTATTGCAGTGTAGTGTAGTGTAGTGTGTATGTGTGGTAGAGACCGCTGTATTTAATTGGTTAGAGTGGTACATGCCAATCAGGTCTTGTGCTGTCACACAGGTTTATTCTCGAGACGTGTTGCATTGCCCAGGTAACATCTTGTGCACAAGCATGGGCAATCAGACCCTCTGTTGTACCTTAGGGCATCTCTATTATATACGTGTTGTGCTGGACACTTGTACGTCGACAGTATATTGGCATAGCATGGGATAGACAAGTGAAGTTCTATGCTGGTCCGTGTGGTATAACTAGAGTAGTTTGAACCACACGTGCAAACTAAGGGTAAATACACTGTCAGTTTGGTATGGACGATAGCTGTCCAAATGTGTGCTGGTACCGTGATCAGATATAGAAATTAGGTTGGGCTGCAGCAGATTTGGAGACAGTATTTGTCAATGTGGATGTGGATGTGCGATCTCAAAATTCAGAGGAATGGTATATAATTAAATCACCACTGTTGTATTGGATCTGATTGGCCGTTGGAGGTCTGTTTAAAACTATACGGTGTCTATATGGCATTCGAGTGACGCGCCTTTATGCTCGAGCGTGTGCTATCGCGTATCTGAACCAAATTTTTGGTTTTTCATGTCTGAGTTGTTCATATACCTGTTTCTGGGCAGTACACATAAGCCAATACAAACATCACACAACCCTTATCTACACTTTTCTGGCCCAGCAGTCAATCCATCTCATTCTCAACGACCCAAAACTCCCCTTATCCGAAATCCAACCCGAAACCTAAAACTTGATTCTAAATACTAAAACTTAAATCCCACCAGCGGTGTATGGACACCAGTCTCTGGCTGAAATGTTCGAGCTTTAACTTCCAGAAAAAGTCATTGCATGGCCTTATAGTGGTGCGCAAAGTAGACCCCGAACGACGAGTCACAGTGAGATATACCATAGACGACTGGAAGGTATGGTAGGCCATTCATGCCGTGTACACTTGTCCACTTGTTCCAGATGTATGTATGTATATATATATCTTTATATAT